ACTCTATGCACTTAGTGCTCCAGGATTTGCTTTCAAAGTGCCAAAATTCTTTTTTTCTTTTTCTTTTTTTTTTTTAAAGATTTTATTTATTTATTTGACAGAGAGATAGCGAGAGCAGGAACACAAGCAGGGGGAGTGGGAGAGGGAGAAGCAGGCTTCCTGCCGAGCAGGGAGCCCGATGTGGGACTCGATCCCAGAAGGCAGACGCTTAACGACTGAGCCACCCAGGCGCCCCTCTTTTTTTCTTTTTCAATACCATTATATCTTCCCCTCTCAAAAGCCTATTTTGAAATTCAAAGTGAAGAATTTGACTTGCTGAATTCAGCTTTTGCTAGGTTCTTCAGTACCTTTCCCTCTCTGGGATAAAAGCCGCTATTAGCTTAAAGATCTAATTTTAATGGTGAAAATGTTGTAGGGTAAAAAGGAAATGCCAAGAAGTAAGAATACATCTGTCAATATTTTAAAATATTTTACAGCTACTTATATGATATGGAACTGAATGACTTAGGTGGGTCTAGTATAAAATTTTGCTCTTTGGGGAGGAATTGGAAAGAATCTAGGCACATGTCTAACGATATTAACTTTAAATAGTTTTTGAAATTTACCATAAGAGGCAGATTTTTCTCTCCCTCTTGGCTTTGATAATATTCCCTATGTCACTCCCTTCTCTTCCATGATCCTCCATAACCTGGGAGGGTTAGTTGGCAAAATTCCATACAGTAAGCAAGATTTACTGCCATTTAAGAGCCTCATACTATCTCCTTGGGGAAAGACAAAACCCTGTGGCTAAAAATGTCAAGTCTGGGATCTTAAAGTTCTACCAGAGAAACTGTGGGGAATGTTAGTCTCTTGGTGGGGGAATAGGTTGGATCACTGGAATGTCTTTTTCCCAGCTAGTTAGTTTCTATGATTCAAGGAAAACAGACCTTAAAAGGAATGGAGAAAGTACAATTTTTATGGAACAAAAGGAACATTAGTTACTTTAACATTCTGAAAAGCATTTTTATGAATTTTTAATAAAATTTGCAAATGATGAAATATCATCACATTCAAAAGAATCAATTAAATGCTTATATTATCATGGATTTAAGCCCCTAATTATTGGGAAAAGGTAAAAATTCCCAGATTTCTGAGTTCACGATAGTAAACTTATATTTCTTTCATAATATTCACAGAATGCTCATGACAAATGCTGTGCAAATGGAGATGTTTTATTCCCAACATGGACTGTTGAAATGAAACTCACTTATGTTGAGTATCGCCACACCAGGTATATACCTCATTGAAAAATGATTCGTGACTGATATATATATTATGTTTGCATGTGTAAGAATGTGTATGTATATGCATGCATATGTATAATTTTATATATACATATAATTTTTTAACATGGAAAGGTATTTTACCCACTAGAAAGAGTTTGATATTTCAATCTCTTAAATGATAATTTTATATCATGGAATAGTGGTTAAGAGGATGGGTGCTTGAATCTGATTGCCTGGGCTAAAATAAAACCATTAATTAGCTGTGTGACCTTGGGCATGGTACTGAAATTTTCTTTTTGCAATAACCTCATCTCTAAGATGGGAGCAATAACTGCATCTGCCCCATGAGGTGGTTGTGGGTAGTAAGTAAATTAGAACATGGCATTGTATAAAATACAAAATAAATGTGAACTTTCAGTAACATTATTAGTATATGCAAGGCCCATACTAGCTGCTTTGGGGAAGAAAAGAGACACAGTCTTTACCCTTATATGGTTTACTATCTAGTTGGGAACTCAAGCTATAGTCTTATATAAAGTGAAATACTGATATCTGAGAAGAAAATCAAAAGTTCAGTTCAGCTGCACAGACCAGCCTCTTAAATATAGAAGCCAAAAGGGCTGGGTGACCTGGATCAGGTCACCCTTTTATATCTTTATATAAAATGTTAGTCTCACATTTGTTTCCCTTCACCTGATGCTTATCTCTCTGACATGATGAAAACAGGCTCAAGGCACATTGTATAATAAACAACGTTTGCAGTGGCCCAGCCTATATTAATCTTGCAGTGGTTTAACCATGGGTGAGCAGTAAAGGACACGGCTACTGATGCTGGATTAAGGCTCTTGACAACAGAAGTTGGTTGAGCTGTGAGTGCTCTGAAAAGCAGGCCAGCCCACCAATTTCTGCAGTTTGCAGAGGGACAGTGACTGCTTCAGCTGATTTTTAAGTTTTTTTCTGATACTTGCAGACAATTCCAGACCGTAATTATCCAGTTTAAGAGGTAATTCTGTACAAGGACTGGCACAAAACTGCCTATCTAATTGCCAGATAAATATTACAGTTAACAACTTCTCTGTGAGATCAAGGACAGGACTACTTCCCATGGTCTGGGATGTTCATGGAAGGCCTTGGGAAGAAGTGGTTATGAAAGGGCCTTCAAAAAGAATTTAAGGTAATCTTTGGATTAATCCCTTTTAAATAAAATATTAATTCCCCTAATTTAATTTTTTTATAAAGAGGAATGCCTTTATTTATTAATTAATTTTTAATTTTAAGTAGGTCCCAAGTCCAATGTGGGGCCTGAACTCACGACCCTAAGATCAAGAGTCATATGCTCTACCAGCAAGGCGCACCATTCCCTAACTTAATTTTTAAATTTATCACTCTAGATTTTCCCCTACTTTCTGTCCCTGACTGGTGCTCGTATCAAAAGATAATTCTGTGTCTAAGTTACGAGTTTATTAAGTTTTCATATGTTGATCTGAGTATATAACCTTCACGTATAAAACTGCTTCTGAGGGGAAAACAGGGGTATTCTGAATTCCAGACAATCAATTTATAAACCCATTTTTTAAAACTCTACTTGGGTTGGTTCTTTCACTCAACAATTAATGAGTGCTTTTCGTTAGGATAAGACACTGTTGTAGGCCCATATGAACAAAAGAAAGATACCTGCCCTCATGGAGTTGACATTCTGGAGAGGACAGACCGTTAAAAAATATACAGAATCAATAATTGGTAGTGTGTTGGAAGGCAATAAGTGCTAAGGAATAAAGGAGTAGTGCAGGGTAAGAGGGAATGGGATGGGTGGCAATTTTAAACAGGATGGTCACTGTGAAGGTTACACTTAAGCAAAGTGTGAAGGGAGCCAGCCAAGATGACCAACCCCAAGTAGGGGAAGAGTATTTAAGGCAGAAGGAAGAGCCAGTGCAAAGGCCCTGAAGCAAGAGCTTACCTAATGAGTTTGAAGAATAGCAAAGAGACCAGTATAGTAGGAAGGGGGTGGGAGAGACAAGAGGATGAGGTCAGAGAGGTAAGCTGGGTAGTGGCAAGAGGGAACTTGCTAGATCATATAGAGCCTTGCAGGACTATAGAGGCTTCGAGAAAGTCAGCAGTCACTTGCACTGGGCTGGCTTAAAACAAAGCCTGCTTGTATCAAAATAATTTCTCTTTTCCCCAGTGTCCTATACTGCAACTTTAATGTGGATACAAATAAACTGAGATCTTCCTAAAATTCAAATTCTGATTTAGTAGGTCTGGGGCAGGGCCTGAAATTCTCCATTTTTAGCAAGCTTCCAGGTGATGCCAGGCTGCCAGTCTACAGTTACACATTGACAAGTAAGAATAAAGAGGTGTTGAGTTCCCAGGGGCTCTGGAACTTACCTCGCCATTAGCTGGGTGCAAGGGCCTTCTTGTTCCTTGTGAGCCTGAAGGGACAACCTCAAAAGGTATTTGTTCACTTTCCTATTGGTCATGGTCTCACCACTAGACTCACTATTTCAAGGTCCTATCACTTGGCTAGTAAGAGCATGGTCTAGAACACCCTCCGAGAACAAGAGATAGGTTGTCTGGCTGTTGCCATGCAGAGTCTAAGAAGTTTCTAAGGCCTCCTCACTGCCTATGGAGGCTCTGACCACATTCCTATCTTACTCCAGTTACAGAAGTTCTGACTTGTGGCCTTCACTCCTGGTCCTTTGCCTTGAGTGAAAGCCCAGCCCAGTAAACTAGGCCTGAGGCAGCCAGAGGATCTGGGTTATGCTCCCAGGTAGCAGAGAGAATGCCCTGCTAATGACTGTTTTACAGGGAAGGCTGGCCTTCTTTTTTTTTAAAAGATTTTATTTATTTATTTGACACAGAGAGAGAAACAGCGAGAGAGGGAACACAAGCAGGGGGAGTGGGAGAGAGAGAAGCAGGCTCTCCACCGAGCAGGGAGCCCGATGCGGGGCTCGATCCCAGGACCCTGGGATCATGACCTGAGCCGAAGGCAGACGCTTAACGACTGAGCCACCCAGGTGCCCCAAGGCTGGCCTTCTTAAGAGCTAGTGCAGTAATCTGCAGCGGTGCAGGCCTGGGAGGACTAGCCACTTATGAATATAAAGCACGGGTTATGAGTCAAGATAATTGAATTGTGCTTCTAGCCCTTACTGTGTCATCTCAGGAATATTCCTTGGGGTCCTGGAGTCACAGTTTTCTCATCTGGGAAGTGGGAATGACAACAACACTTCCCTCATTTATCGAGAGGATGCATGTAAAGCACGTAGTCAGGCACCTGGTTCATAATGATGCTCACAAAGTACTGGTTATTATTTTTATAATCACTAGTAACATCCCACCACCTATCAGATCGCGTTGTGGCCTGACCCCATGGTACCCACCTTTACATTCTCTGGAGTTCGGGCACCGTGGCAAATCCCTCAGCAAAGGCTTTCAAAGAGAAAACAGAGGGGTCAATGGCAGTTTCATCGTGGTAAATGTCACTAGAAGTAATTAAGGAACTGAAGAGGTTTCGTTTATAAAGGAGATGATGGGGGGACGGACGTGATGGCTGTCGTCATGGTTTCTCGTGTGAGAGAAACGAGAGAGTTCCACGAGACCCAGCGGGCACGCTGAGACCGACCGGAAGCAACGAAAGGAAAGCACCCCCGCCCCCAACAGACAAAGCGAGGCAGGGGGCGATGGAGGAGGCGGGGTGGTCTGTGAGGGTCCGCTCCTGCGCAGCTGCGGCGGCGGAGCCAATCGCCGCGCGCAGCCCGTCCTCGCGCGACGGTACAGTCGTACCGTCGTGACGTCGGCGGTTGCCATGGAGAGGCCCGCTAGCTGGGGACCGCGAGCTGGCGCCAGGGGCGGCGGGGTCAGAGCGTGGCTTTGAAGCCGCTTCCGCTACCACCATGAGCGGCCGAAGTAGGGGTAGAAAGTCCTCCCGCGCCAAAAGCCGGGGCAAAGGCCGCGGCAAAGCCCGAGTCCGCGCTGCTCCTGACGACGCCCCCCACGACCCGGACCCGCCACAGTGCCAGAGGCTCGGGGAGGAAACCCAGGCGGCACAGGTGCAGGCTGGCGCGGGTTGGGGTGGCCTGGAAACCGCTGCGCCCGCGCCGTCCCGTCGGCCCGGGGAGGACGCTGCCTGCCGGCTCCCCCTGGACTGTGGCCTCGCGCTCCGGGCCCGAGCTGTGGGGGATCGCGGGCAGGCCGCGACCAGGCCCAGCCTGGGGAAGGCCACATCCCTCTCGGAGCGTCTAGCAACAGACACTGTCTTCGTGGGGACTGTGGGAACCGTGGGAAGGCCGAAAAATGGCCCCCGCGTTGGAAATCGGCGTGGCTCCGCCGGGAAGAAGGTCCCAGAAACCTGTAGCACAGCGGGGAGGGGGCCTCAGGCCATAGCTGGCGGGAAGCCGAAGAAAGGGGCCGCAGGGGAGAGTGTCTCCGTCCCTGTGGTGGAGGAGAAGAAGGTGGAGAGGGATGCAGGGTCAGGGCCCCTGGCGACAGATGGCAGCATGGATACGCTGGAGACGGTCCAGCTGAAGCTGGAGACCATGAACGCCCAGGCAGACAGGGCCTACCTTCGCCTCTCGCGGAAGTTTGGGCAGTTGCGACTGCATCACTTAGAGCGCAGGAACCTCCTCATCCAGAATATCCCGGGTTTCTGGGGGCAAGCTTTTCAGAACCACCCCCAGCTATCATCCTTTCTGAACAACCAAGATAAAGAGGTTCTCAGCTACTTGAACAGCTTGGAGGTGGAAGAGCTTGGCCTCGCCAGATTGGGCTACAAAATCAAGTTCTACTTTGGGCGCAACCCCTATTTCCAAAATAAGGTGCTCATCAAGGAATATGGGTGTGGCCCTTCGGGTCAGGTGGTGTCTCGTTCTACTCCAATCCAGTGGCTCCCAGGGCATGATCTTCAGTCGTTAAGCCAGGGGAACCCCGACAACAGCCGTAGCTTCTTTGGGTGGTTTTCAAACCACAGCTCCATTGAGTCTGACAAGATTGTGGAGATAATCAACGAAGAACTGTGGCCCAATCCCCTGCAGTACTACCTTATGAGTGAAGGGGCCCGTGCAGAGAAAGGAAAGGAGGGCAGGCAAGGTCCAGCAAGGCAGCCAGTGGAGACCCCTGAGCCTGGGGCAAACAAGTCCAACTGATCCTGCACTAGTCTCCCTACTACCTCCTGTTGGACCTGTGCCCAGCTAACCACACGTGTTTGGTTATCTGCCTTCTCTTCATGTTGGCCTCTGTGCACTGTATTCCCTTTGGACTTCAGTTACAAGAATATGGTATTTATGATCATGTTCTTTTGCCTCCTCGTGGCCTTCTTGCTTTTTCACATTAGTGTTACATGTTAAATGATCTCACCCCTACTGTTTATGTTAAGCACACATGCTTCAAGTGTGTGCTGCCTTTGTCTACATTGCCTGGACCGTGTTTTTGGCTCTGGCCTTTCCCAGCTGTCTTTAACATGGACGCTCATGAGTCCTCCTCCAAGAGGACCAGTGCATCCTCAAGCTCTGCTACTTCAGGGCCAGTGACTTGCTGAGCTTTGTGTTCATGCTGGCCATGCATGCCATCTATGGCCAGTTTTTCTGTTGCCACTGCAGAATGAAGCTAGCGCACATGGTATTGGCCATCAGCCAAAACTAATTGTTCCAAAGCCCTGGGGTCACCGGCCTAGTTGCCACCACCTCCTGGATCTCTGACTTTGGCTAGGGGCCTCAGCTGCCCTGCTGGATGTGCAGAATAGCACTTGACTGCTGGGCATGGATGAGGTTGAGAGTGAGAAGCAGTATGCCGTGTGTTCTGTACCATCATGTGTCTCTTCCTGCCTCTGGGCCCTTCTACTATTGAACATTCATCAAGGTCTATACCATGCTCCGTCACTATCAGGCCACTGAGACTTGTCTAGGTTGCTATTGGCCCTAGTTGGCTTCCTGGTCAACGAGGACCTCAAGAACTGCCTGTGGACCCAGGCCCCCTGCCAGTGCATGAGACACACACCTACCCTCCCCAGCCTTCCAGGAACCCTGCCGCCTGCCAGACTGATGGGCGGGTGTGTGAACATGTGCTCACTGTCATCGTGCTGTGGCTGCAGGTGAGGGTGGGGACTGGACCCACATACAACCTAGGTACCTTTGTCAACTCCACTTATCCCTTCTTAGCACAGGACCAGAGTGCTATAGTGGGGTTGCTGGGGAAGAGGTATTTCTGACCTGTGGGCCTGTGTCTACTTCCTCTCACACCTCTGTGCCTTACTTGCCCTTCCTTCACTCCCTCTCTTCCTTCTTTCCTCCCTTCCTTTCCTGTCCTTCCTTCTTCCTCCACTTCTCCCTTCCTTTTTTGTTTCAGTATTACCACAGCTCAGAAAGAGAAAGCAACTGAGAAACCAGGGTTTTCTGCATACAGCTAGCGAGACAGCTGGGACTTGAGCACACTCACACCATGCTGACAGCGGGTAGAGGAGGCCAGAAGGCTAAGTGGGTCTGTGGTCAGCTGTGGTCAGACCTTGGTTCCAACTCCTGGGTTCACTCTATAATTCTCAATTGAAAATTCTTTTCATGGCTACACATGTGTTAGAATTATAAGCCCTAAGGCAGCAGTGTTGTGGACGAGTGTTTACTCCTGTTCCAACTTTCGTGTGTGTGTGTGCCCCTTAAGACCCAGTTACCTCATATTGTTTCCTCCTCTGTGGTAGCCTCTGGCCATCTGGCCCTCATTCCCCAGCTTTCTACGCTCAGCGGTCCTTTGCTCTCTTTACTTTTCTACCTTCAAATACCCTTAGGAATAGGCTTCCATCCTGGGGCATGGGGACAGGGTGGTCAGAATCTGTTCTGGATCTCCAGGGCTCATTTCCAGTGAGTATAAAAGCTGAGCCAGACCCTCTTTCTCCTTTGCATCCCTGAAGGTTGAGGGGTAGGACTGTAACACTTGCCCTCCCCCTAATCTCCCTTTCCTTATGGGAGACCTTGTTCTGAGTTCCCCAAGGGCTGGGGAGGCCTTGACTCAAATTTGTAGAGAGGGTGTGCCAGGCGGGGAACTTGGAGCAAAAACACAGAGCAGGAATGGGCCTGGTGTGGAAGGGGCCTGGAGATGCAGGTAGCAATGGTTTGAGAAGCCTCAGGGAGACTATGCCTGTCTCTCAGTGAGGGCAGGGACGGGGAGGGACCTTCCCCAGAGTGAGGAGGGGAGAATTAAAGGGGTCATGGGCCAATACAGTACCTAGGTGAGGGTTTGCCCACAGTTTTATCCAATCATTAGCTCATCATTAGTGGATTTTATAAATCACAGAAACAAATCCAAAACAGAATAATGTTACTTTGGATGCTTTCTCTTTTGTTCTAGGTGTGGCCTTGCGTATGTGGAAGATTGATGCTGTATGCTGCTTATTTTGCCATAAGTAAAATCTTACCACTTCCCCCATTTTTGCCTAATGGGAAAATGTAGCTGCACAGGTCTGCTTTTTTCTTTTTCTTTCTTTCTTTTTTTTTTTTTTTTTAACTTTTTGCTGTTTATTATGGACATTTTCAGACAAGCACAGAAATGGAGAGGATGGTACCTGGCCCCTGTGTACCCGTCACCTAGCTACATCAATTATGATCAACCTGGTATCTTCCTCTCCCCACCTGTATTGTTGATGGAAAATCCGACACTGTGCCAATTCAACCTTGACTACTTTGGGAGATCAGGACTCTCTTTTGGTGGTGATAGTGGTAGGGGGCACTATCATGATCCTATCAGGTCTGCTTTTTGTTTTGAATGTTAACAAATGAAGTTCCAGAAATGGGCCTTAGAAGTGAAAGTGTTCAGGATAAACAGGGAGTCTCAAAAAGAGATGAAAAGATGCTCCCTTTCCCCTGTATCCACAAAAGGAGAGAGAGAGAGATACTGTTCTGTTGTAAATCATACAGACTGATACAATAAGGTGCTTACTTGGGACCCTTCACCAGAATATCAGTTTTTTTTTGCTTGTGAAAGATGGAGCCTTGTGTGACTGTTAGAAATATCATCAGCTTGTCCTGGTCTCATAATATAACTGGTCTTGGAAGTATAATTTGGAAATTGTTTCTGTGTTCTGTGAAAATTGCTCCCCAAAGCAATCAGTTACTGGTTGTCTTACTTGGTAATTTGACACCCTGGTAATAATGCAATTATTCCTTTGTTCCTAAACAGTATAAATAGTTGTAAGCTCACATGCATGATGGAAAAATAAAAGCCTGTATCTCTGTTATATTTTTTATTTTAACAAAAGAATTGGAAGGTGAAGGTGAGGCTAGGTAGTTGAGGGGATGTATACATTGGCCTCGGAGAGTGCTTCCTAGGTCTCAGGCCCTGGTGTGACTAGCTCCATAACAATGATTCTCATGCCCTTAGCAGAGATTGAGATTCTGTGGTTGGTTCTGGGAGGAAGCCAGGTAGTTCTTGTTTCTAATGAGTTTTCCAGGTGATTTTAGTGGAAATCCGGTGTTTCTCAAATTTTAGAGTACATCTGAATTGTGTGAGGAATCCTGTTAAAACTATGAATTCTGATTCAGTAGTCCAGGGTGGAACCTGAGATTCTGCATTTCTAACAAAATTCCAGGTGATGCCAGTGCTGGTGGTTTGTGAACTGTACTTTGAGTAGCAAAGAGGGGATGTTTAAGAACCATTCAGACTAGGGTAACAGTGCTCAGCCTTGGTTGCACATTAGAATTACCTGGGAAACTTAAATATACTGTCGGAGCTCTGCACAATTGCCGACTAAATCAGAATGTGGGAAGGGGTTGGTCCAGGTATAGGTGTGTTAGAAACATCCCAGGTGATTCTGTTGTCTAGCCAGGGTTGAGAACTAGGGTCTCTGATGCTGTTCATTACGCATCTATAAGAAGGTTAATTCTACACATCAAGAGAAGCAGCAGCAGACAACAATAGGCCACGAAAAGCTGCCCAGCAGAAAATAGTTGGAAAAAATTAGAAGTGGGTTGTTAAATGACAAAAAAATAAAATTGGTTTATATGATAAAGGGCACGAATCAATAAATGTGCAGTGTTCAGAGCATAGTAGGTGTTCAAATATTAAATGAATGAAGGAGTTTAAAACACAGTTTATAGTCAAATGCCTTCGGGCTAGCCTGGTAATTAAATTTGCAAAGTAGGCCAGATTTGTTTCACAAGGATATGTGTATTCGTTTGTTAGGGCTGTTGTAATGAAGAACCCCCGACAGGGTGGCCTAAACAATAGAAATTGACTTGCTCCGTTTTGGAGGCTAGATGTGTCAGATCAAGGTGTGGGCAGGGTTGGTTTCCTCTGAAGGCCTCTCTCCCGGCTTGTAGGTGGTCCTCCTTTTCTGTCTTTACACGGCCTTCCCTCTGTGTGAGCTTGGGAGCTGTGAACAGAGGTGGAGATTGTGTGTAGCTGTTCTGCAGGGCTAGATTGTTTACCTGGGGGCAGTGCAGGCCTAGTGTGGCTGCATCTTCAAAGGGCAATGGGAGGAATCAGGATTTTTATGCAGAATCTCCCAATTTTGAATGCTTTCAACTAAAAAAACAAAAAAATTTAAACACTCAGAGCCTTGCTATTAATGATATGTGGAGTGCAAAAGGGTTTGGAGAGCAGCCTCTATTTGATGCTCAAGCATCTGCTTGGGATTCATGCAGAGTCCTCTGGGGTTATGCATTGAGAGGGGCTCTCTGCCCAATTTAGCTCACACACTTGCTTCTTCAGAGGTACGAAGCCTTCACTCCCCAGGCCCCCCTTTCATGCCCCTCTCTTTGGTTGTTTGGAGATCCTGTCTGATCTGGGATTCACTACCTCCCCATGGGCTTATTCATTCATTGCCTCCTGTATGTGCCAGTCTCAGTTGTAGACATCAGAAATATAGCTATGAACAAATAGAACTTTGAATTCTGCCCCCCCTTCTAGGTTTCAGCCTCTTAGATTTTGCCTGGGATTGTCAGTCAATCTCTTTCTTTTTTCCCTTTTCCTGCATAGGGCTGCCGAGTGCTTTAGATCCATATGGGAGGTAAAGGAAGCCTCTTTTTACCCTCTGACCTCTAGGTCAGAATTCACAGGGCAATTAGGTTTTTAATAACCTGCAAAGTGAGGGCTTCTTGGAGTAATTCTTGTTAGGCTAAATCCTTTGCCCTTTTCTCAACTTTGAGCTTTATTACAAAAGGCCTTCTTTTGGCTTCTAAACTTGTTACTGGCAGGGCTTTTTTGGAGTATGAGGGGTTTGATTATGCTTGGGTGAGGGAGGAGACAAAACTAGTCTTACTACTCATAGCTTATTGAAAATTTTTATCAACTTCGGACTGTCTCTCCTTAACACTTTGGGCTTCCTGCCTCTGGTCTACTCCACCGATCTGCGACAAGGCAGAGAGGCGCACCGCTCCGGGTTGGCCTCACCTAGGGAGGAAACTTTGCCCTCATTTGTCCCTTTGAAAATTGTGGAAACTCCTTCTGCGCTCCCACCCCTTGAGATCTGGGCCTTGGTGAGCCACTGTTACTGATGGGTGGGCCATATCCCTCAGAGTTGGGGTAGCAAAAGAAAGCCGAGAACCCAGGCTATTCAGTCTATGGTTTTTATCTCTCTTTGTCCTTAGCATCTTCACTTCTGCTTTTGGGATCTTCTCCAGCCGTATTTCACCATTCAGGATCTCAACTCATTTCTGCTGATTCATTTTCACCTGAAACTCTGACTTGGTGCTTCTGGACCCCAGATCTACCTTCTCTGGTCAGGTGTTCAATTTCATGCTCTCCGAGGCTCCAACCTTAAATTCCTTCCTCCTCTCCCTGCCTCCTGTCAGCCTGGTTCTCAGCTGAGGTTTGACAAATATAAGACAAAATAGCCCCCATCTGTGTGGCACTGGATGGTTCACAAAGCACAGTCACATTATATCAGTTGTAACAACTATCTGAAAAGACGGCTCAAAGAGGTTAAATGACTTGACCAAAACCACAGAGGTAGTAGTAAGCAGTAGAGCCAGAACTCAAACTCAGGTCTGCCAATTACAAACTCCATTCATACTCGTGATGGTAAACGTGAGGCCCAAGCAGATACCTGGTACTATGAACCTAGGCACTTCTTTCCACAGAACCTGTAATTAAGCCTTCATGTAGAGCATCAGAACCCTCAGCACAGCACTCTGGTTAGTCAAGGCAGAGTTGGCATGTGAGTGTGAACCTTCCTGGCCATCCCAAACTCCAGCCTGCCAGCAGAGCTCAGTGAGGAGCAGGGCTGGCTAGGGCTGAGGCTTCCTTTAACTGCTTTGTTCTAAGGTTAGGATCGGCTCAAAATTTCAGTACCTGAAGATGAATGATTTGAAAAAAGGAGGTAATCTTTCTTCTGTAACAAGAAGTCTGGTGATGGGAAGTTACAGGCTTGCTTCAATGGCTCCATGATGTTCGGGCTCTGGTCCACACCTGTGCTTCCTCTTTTGGCTTTCCCCACATCATTCCCCAGCTGCACTTAAAGGTGGGCAGGAAGGAGGGGAGAGGGAGAGCTTCTCGCATGTCTCTGTCTTTATCAAGGAAGAAAATCTTTGCCAGTAGTCCCTGCTAGATCTCAGGAGACCTGAGTCAGGTTCCATGGGCCAGAAATGGGTCACACTCTCACACTCTATTTCAGGGAAACATGGCGCTGCCATCAAGGAATAAGGAGAGCTCAAGTGGTTAGGACGGATGGGAGATGTTAGTCACTTGTAGGCTCATCCTTTCTGGAGCAATGTGGCTACGCTGCTGACAAGCACATCACATAATAGTTGGAAGCCCCATGCATGTGCACTGCCCCTGCCCCAGCTCCCCTGGGCACCTCTTCTGACAAGAAAGCTCTACCAGTGCTTGGCGTGCTGTGTCTCATCTCCTCCATTACATGGTAAGTGCTCTTCCCGCTAGGCAATGCGTTTTTGGTTTTCCTGTTTCCCATAGCACCTCACCCAGGGTTCACTCAACATTTGATGCATGCGGTCAGTAAATGCTACTTGGGCAAATGCAGTAAGTCAATAATCTTTCTAAAATGTAAATTTGATCATGTCAATCACCTGTTCAAAACCTTCAGGAGTAAGGTCCAAAATCCTAAGAAGCTCATAATAGGCCTTCCATTATCTGACCCTACCTATTTTTTACTTCAAACTTTTTTATTATGAATAATTTCAACATACATAAAAGTTGACAAAGCACAATGGTTACCCGTATATCTACTATTTAAGTTCGATGATTTTTAACTTCGTGCCATATTTGTCTCGCTCTGTATATATATGTTTTGCTGAACAATTTGAAAATAAGTTGCTTGACCCTTCACCCCTAAATACTCAGCATGCATCTAATAAAAAAGGATTTTCTCCTGTAAACGTCAGACCATTATCACACTGCAGAACAGAATTCCTAAATACCCTCTAGTATACAGTCCATATTTAGATTTCTCCATTGTTACCAAGATTATCTTACAGTATTAGTTTTAAAATCAAGATTGAAAAATGTTCAGCCATTCATCTGGTGATCTCTTCAATCTTCTTAAAACAAAAATAATCCCCTCACTTTTGTCCCCCCACCCCCACCCCCCCACCATGACATTGACTTTCTGAAGGAGTTAGGCCACTTGTCTTTTAGGATGTCCCAAATTCCGGATTTGTCTGATTGCATCTTCCTGGTGTCAGTTCACTTTTCCTCTGTCTCCTGTATGTCTTGTAAACTGAGGATGCAGATGGAATGCCTTTGGCAAGAGTACATAGACAAGGCAGATCCTTCACAGTGCGTCCCTTCTGAAGGCAAAGTGACAGCTGGTCCCACTGTCGTGCTGTTCGTTTGCTCTCTTGGTTAAGATGGCGATCACCATATTTCCTTCTTCCAATTAGCAGGAAATCTCTGAAATTACTGTAAGGATACTGTTCCCTTAAACTTTCATCCCAAGGTTTTAGCAGCCATCGATGACATTTGCCCAAACCTGTTACTTCACTGTGGGTTACAAAATAGTGACCTTCTAATCTTGGCATTTCCTTTACATATGTTATCTGGTATTTTCCTGTAAGGAAGAGTTTACTCTCAGCATCTAGCAATGAACTCTACTTCCTTCTGAAAGGCAGTGTAAATGCTTCATTTATTCCTTTTATTATCTATTTTCGGAATCAGAAGTTGGTGTAATAATTGCTTCTAATGGTTTCAAATAAGGGCATGTTTTTCTTTTCTCTTTACGATCACTGTGGACTTGTGGGGTTTTATTTATTTAACGTTTTATGATCAATTATAGTCATTTTCTCTTTTGGCTACTCAACTGACTTGCATTTTGCTACTAACTTTTACCAGACTCCTCTTGTCCTTGTCCCTGGTTTTCTCCCATTGCCCCCTGTGCTGTGCTGCAGCCAGTATGAATCAGTGTGAATCAGTTCCGGGTCTCTGGATGCCCACTGTGCTCTTTCACACCCTGAATGTTTGTACAAGCAGTTTGTGTAGGAAGAAAGCCCTTGCAGCCCTTCTCAGGTACGGCTCAGATATTCTCGTACCAGGCCGTAGTTTTTAATCTGAATTAGTCCCTCCCTCCTCTTTATTTCCACAGTATTCTATCCACACTTCAACTTACAGTACCTAACATAGTGACTTGTTCTTGTCTGTTTATCAGAGACTGAGATCCTTGAGGCCACAGAATAATAATGACAAGTAGTATGTCTTAATCATTTTTGTATTCTCGTACTTGAGGGGCTTATGCATAGTAGGTGCTCATTAAGCAATTGAACAAGTGAGCAAATGAATGGTCCCTAAAGATTCCTTAAGGCAGCAGTGACAAACTACCGAGAGGCTGCAAGTGCCCAGAAGCAGAGGTTGGGAATAATTTCAAGTGAAGAGAAGCATGAACCTAATACAAATGGGTTAAAGGGTGGTGGGGGGTGGGGAACTATCACCGGTACAAAGCCTCAGGCAAAAAACTTGAGTTTGTTTCTTCCTCTCTGCTATAAACTCTCAAGGATCTTTGTTCATTGTTGAATCTCTTGAATCCCAGGTGCATACACATTGACATATTTTGGTCTGGTGAAAGCGTTACCCCGTAGGGATCCGAAAGGGTATGTGCACCCCGATGTTCATAGCAGCAATGTCCACAATAGCCAAACCGTGGAAAGAGCCAAGATGTCCATCAACAGATGAATGGATAAAGAAGATGTGGTATATATATACAATGGAATATTATGCAGCCATCAGAAGGAATGAGATCTTGCCATTTGCAACGACGTGGATGGAACTGGAGGGTGTTATCTGAGCGAAATAAGTCAAAGAGAAAGACGTGTATCATATGACCTCACTGATACGAGGAATTCTTGATCTCAGGAAACAAACTGAGGGTTGCTGGAGTGGGGGGTGGGGTGGGAGGGATGGAGTGACTGGGTGATAGACACTGGGGAGGATATATGCTCTGGTAAGCGTGGTGAATTGTGCAAGACTGTTGAATCTCAGATCTGTACCTCTGAAACAAATAATGCAATATATGTTAAGAAAAAAAAAAAAAGAAGATAGCAGGAGGGGAAGAATGAAGGGGGGGAAATCGGAGGGGTGGACGAACCATGAGAGACAATGGACTCTGAGAAACAAACTGAGGGTTCTAGAGGGGAGGGGGGTGGGAGGATGGGTTAGCCTGGTGATGGGTATTGAGGAGGGCACGTTCTGCATGGAGCACTGGGTGTTATGCACAAACAATGAATCATGGAACACTACATCTAAAACTAATGATGTAATGTATGGGGATTAACATAACAATAAAAAAAATACCTTCGGGGGAGGAAGGGGATAACTGGGATGAGTAATTATAAAGAAATGGGGTGATTTTTAACAACCACATCAGAATTTGTATACCTAAAAGATCATTGAACTTTAAATAGCCAAGGAGCAAAACATTTCAGCATTCCTCTCTGGAAACTGCTTCCAGAATTCACTTTTGTTTTTGACCAAATGTGATATACTAACACACCTAAACTTACTCCCCAGCTATGGCACCAAATAAATGTCTAATTTCCAAAAACCAAAAAAAAAAAAAAAGATGGCAGGTTGGATGGGCCATATCTTGGAGTTGTCCCATGGCAGAAGCTGTCTCTTCCTAAGGGAGCATTGAGACTTGGAGAATCCATTTTGTTGAGCACATACCACATGCTGGGCACAGTGCTAGGCACATTTAAACACATCATCACAACAATTCTATTATTATCCTCATTTTCCAGATGAGACGAAAGAGCTCAAGAGAGTTTCGGTAACTTGTTTAATGTTATGTCAGTTGTAATTCCTGGAGCTGGGAGTGGAGCGCCTTAGCCACTGTTCTGCCCTGGCTCTCAGGCTGGGGTTTGCAGTTTGAGTTGGTGAGTTGGACTAACATTGTCTCCTGTCTTCAGAAGAGAGGGAGGAGGGTGTGTGGCTGAAGATAGACTTCAAGCCTTTCAGGGGGTAGTTATCACTGTCCAGGGAGTGGGAGTGTGTGTGTGTGGGTGTGTTTGTGATGTGTGGTGTGTGTGTATGGGGAGCCACATCCGTGTGTGTGCCCAGGGAGGGCATAAGAGTGGCCGACAAGCCAGCTTTGGAATACAGCCTGTGGACCTGTAGACTGCATGCTGGTTGTCCACGGACCCACAATGCCCAGAGGCTGCCAGGGCGTGTGTGCTCACGCGGATCACTGCCCACTGAGCAGTGGGGTCCACATTTTAAAGACTCCCAGCTGTGGGCAGCTTGTGGGAAACAGACTCTCTTGGCTTGAAGCAGTTCAGAAGGAGTAGGCGTCTAGTAAGGCCCTGAGCAGATGGTGTGACAGGGAGGCTGAGTCGCAGAAGGCACCAGGCTCAACAAAAGGCCATCGCAACTACTAAACGAGGGGATTAGTTTGTGTAGGGGCAACATAGGCCTGCAGGATGTAAGCTGTTCTTTGAGCTTCAGCCTCCCACACAGACAGCTGTCCCTCTCTCCGCTCTCGTCTCCAAATAAGAGAGAGAGTGACAAGCCATTCTTAACATTCCTTAGGGGTGTTTCCCTATTCCCCAAACACTGACACTTCTACTCCACACAGGGACCATGGGGAGGAAAAGAAAGCGAGGCAGTTAACATTAATTGAGCACCTCCTACATGCTAGACTGTGACACGTGGAATGTTTTCACCATCTTCTGTGTTTTTTTTTTTTCTTTTCACAGTAACAAGCTTATGAAGTCTCCATTGTTATCTGCATTTTACCTTTAATAATACATTCTGCAAGTTAAGAAACTTGCTCAGGGTTTCTCAGCCAGAATTCTTTGGCTCCAAAACTTCTGTCCTTTCCAATTTACCATAGTTCTCCCTCCTAAGAAGAAGGGAGACATGGTTACTCCTAATTTTAAGGAAAGTGATACAAATCAAGTAGAATGCTTTCAGCTTCAAGTAACAGAAATCCTGACTAATGGGGACCAAGAGGAAGGACATTTATTGTTGCCATAATAAAGAATTTGGAAGCAAGTGGTCCCATGGTTAGTTTAGCTGTTCAGTTATTTTATCAAGTCCCCAGACTCTTTCCATCTTTCCAGTCCTTCTTTTCTAACATCTTGACATACACTTAGCAAGGACTTCTTGTCTTCAAACTTGTCTCATGATCCCAAGATGGCTTCTTCAGTTCTAGGCATCATATTCTCAGAGACAGTGTCCAAAATAGGGAAGTAGCAAAACAGGCAAAGAGGAGCTTCTCCGGTACAACACTCTCTTTTACCAGGGAAGAAAATATTTCCTGAAGTCTCTAGTGCACTTTCCTTTACATCTCATTGGCCAGACAGGAGTCGTGTGTGTATGTGTGTGTGTGTGTGTGTGTGTATGTATGTAATCTCCATCCCCCACTTAGACAAATTCCTGGTGTGTGTGTGTGTATAGCTATATATATGCGCACACACACACACACACACACATATATATATATCTCCATCCCCCACTTAGACCAATTCCTGGCAAAGGGGGACATTACTGCCATGACTCACTCCGATTAACCAGGACTAGTTCCCCAGGGTTGGGCACATTGCCTGCATGCAGAAAGGGAGCATGGCTGTGGGGTAGGCACTTGCCACATGATAGTAAGGCCAAGGGCTCCTCAGGCTCTATGACTGCCATAGCCAGGACAAAATACTTGGGAGAAGCGAAGACATTTACTGTCTATTCACAGATTTAGACAGCAGGCTTGTTTTGTTCCCTTTCTGATCTCAGGCATGCATTAGGCACCGTGGTGGGTTGAAAGAACTGTAGGATATAGGCTTGCACGTACTTTATAATCTAAATGGGGGAGGAGTTAAATAACAGTGAACAATTCAATAAAAGCATGAAACAAAAACTTCACAAAAGCCAGCATATGATCAAATGGTCTCTGGGTCAGAGGGCAATTTAAGCAGATTCTTCTCCAAAGTATTTTGTGAGTTTCTTTGTTATACTCATGACTGGATGGAAGCATTTTAAATTCTTTTCAACCAGCGGGATTTATTTTTGTATCCTCTGCTGGTTTTTGTTATTTCCTTCCAAAGAAAATGCATAAATTTTGGAATGATTTGAGGATATTCTGGGCCAAGGAAATAATTTTTAGGTGTTAAATATGATATTGCTGGCCACCAGAAAAAATATTTGGCGCTTCAGCAAGAGATCGGAACCAGTCATAAACTTATGTACAAGTTCTGGTAGCTTTACTGTGTAAGGTTGACATTTTATGATTTTTTTTTTTTTCCTTTTGGGGAGGGTTCCCTGTGGAGCTAAGTGGTATTCAAATTAAGCATGAACATTCATTTCAACTGTTACATTAGAGGCACTTGAATAATGCTTAGCAAAATGCCACAGCCGCCAAAACTTTAATTTGGCCTCTGATTAAAGGCAATCTTCTCAATCTGGCCTCAGTTCCTAGAGTAATCCTTTGAACAGATTAGACACAAACACATACTTTGCTGATAATTGTGTGTTGATTCTATAATAAATTGGTTGGGAGTAGTTGCTATCAGTTGGAACCCAAAATCTCCAAACGGTGACTCAGAATATGGACTCTCATTCTTCTAGAGTTCCGGCTGGGCAACTTTCCACCCAGCCCAGGCACTTTGCTAAGATCACCATTTGGGAGACCACCCCCCAACCCCCCCCCATCTTTTTTATTTTTGGACTTTTGTTATATGATCCTTTCAGAGAAGGTTACCTTAATTTTTCCAGCCTCTTCTTGGTTGGGGGTTGGGATCACGCCCAGTATGGCATTTTGCAGGCTCCCTTTTCAGGGACTGTTCTAATAAGAATGGGCTATAAGTACTTTGCTACCTCACCCCACCCTCTTGGGTATTTTAAATGCTCCTCTTCCCTAGTTGAGCTAAAGCCATGGTGATCCACGCCAATCTAAAGAGAGATGTTTCTGCCAGTCATCTATGGGTAGTTCTCTGCCTCCGAGCACTCCAGTAGCTTCTGGGCCATGAGCAATTGAAGAAAATGTTGTGGCTTTCTTGGCTAAAGAAAAAGGGTAAGATGCAGATTGCAGAACATGCTTATCTTATGGCTGCCTTCAGGGCTACATTTGCAGGTCTTCAAAACCAAAACTGGAACTTCAGTGTTTTTTTTTTTTTTCAAGCTTTGGGTACTTGGTGATGACATCAAATGTTCCAGAATGGTTAATTGCTAAATGTTTACCAAAGTAAGGTCAGGGGCCTAGAGAGTTGGGGGAAAGGTATATAATGGGAGATTGTAGGTACGATAGTTAAGAGTTGGAATCAGGCATATCTGGGTTCATATCCAAACTCTGATAGTTACTAATTAGTATGTACCACTTTGGTAGGTATTTAGTTTCTTTAAACTCCATTTGTCTTTTGTTGTTGTTGTTTTTTAATCTGTAAAATAGAGACGAAAGTTCTGAGTTAGGTGGAAGTCAAAAAACAAGACTCAAATTAACAGAATAAAAAAAATTGTTTTAGCATGTACAACTGATAAGTCCACAGGCAATCTGGGCTTCAGATAGGGCTTGATCCAGGGATTCAAATGATCTCTTTTTTACCTCTCAGCTTTTCTTTCCTCTGTATTAACTTCATTCTCAGGCAGGTTTTCCCCTCCTAGTGGCAAGCGGGCTGTTTGATGCTCTAGACCCACAACTATTCCCTTTCAGCAACCTTAATGAAGAAAAAGGTATTTCTTCCCTTCCAGTTCTCCCCTCCTCCTCCTCCTCAAAAAAAAAAAAAAAAAAAAAAAGTCCTGAGATTGCCTCTTTTGGTTCATTGGTCATTATGTACACTTGAACCACTTGCTAAGAACTGGGTTACTGCCCAGCCCTGGAGCCTGGAATGGGGTCAGTCCCACCCAACCTACAAGCACTGACAATAGAGAAGGGATGATTTTTTTTTTTTTTCCAGATGAAAATAAATTGTGGTACCAGTACCAGAGAAAGGAGGATAGATGCTGGGCAGACAAAACCAGTAGATGCCATGGAATGGCAGTTCATTCCTGGGTCAGTCTCATTAATAAGGAAGTGGGAAGGAATAAAAAAACCTATTTATGAGGATCAAGTGCCAACAACC